TTCAAACAAATACTTTTGGAAAGGTATAAATCTATCTCTTCTTTCTCCAGCTAGAGATTCATACATGGATTCTCACATTGTGAGCTAATGCATGTGTATTCCATCAATACATTACCGATGAGTCCTTTCATGACAGTAGAAGACTTGTATAATCGTAGAATGACCTTGCTCCTGAAATTTATTTAAGTGAGAAAGGTTTGTGCATTCCCAGTCCCATTCTCTTGTCCAATGCCCACCATCTGCTTTCTGGTACAAAATCTGCCATGAGATAAGTGACATGCAAGGATGCAGGTTATATTTTGAAGTGACCTTCCCCTAGATAGATTGCCTTGCAAGGCTACAGAACCCATATCTACCCATCAAGTTTTGCCTCCAGGCTGGTTTTGAATTCAGTTTTCCTTTTCCTTTTCCTGGCCCAGTTGCCACCCATGGCTATAGGATCCAGTCTTTTCTTCTATTTACCCATAGCTGGCAGAAGAAAAGGATTCATACCTTTCTCAAGAGTATTAGCATGTAAGTGAATGTAAGGAGGCATGGTGGAGTAATGTATAGTGGCTTGGATTGAGGAATTGGAGAGCTGAGTTTGAATTTCAGTTGGATCCATTATATTCACTTACATGCTAATACCCTTGGGAAAGGTATGAATTCTCTTCTCTCCCCAGCTACGGGTAAATAGCAGGACAGACTGGGTTCTATAGCCTTGATTGGCAACTGGTCTATCGCAGAAAGAAATGGCAACCTACCATGGGAAAAAAATCTGCTTCGTCAGTCATGCATCGAACGATATATGATCGCCTAAGCATGTATCATGCATGGCACATAACTGATTGAATGTAATAGATCTGACTGCAATTCAAACTTGTCTCTCCAATTCCTCAATCAGAGCTGCTATCCATTACTCCACCATGCATCCTGGCTAGGGATTAATAACTGAGTATACTGGCCTCTCTAGCCATTGTTGGTAACCACTCTAGGTGAAGGACAACTCTAAATTTAAAAGTGGAGCTAACAACTCTTGCTATAGAACCCATAGCAACACCTAGCATGGTGAGGCTGTGGCTTCATACCCCACAGAAGTCTCTAAGTGTACTAAACAGAAGGAAGAGAAAGTTATACACTGAAAAATACAAGATTTTGTAAATTAATTTGTATAAGTTTTTTGTGGCTCGAAATATAAAACTAGTTAATTGTCAAATGTTACCATTTTGCAAAAAGGTCATTTTTTTATTTTTAACTTCGGTACCAGGAGGTGCCGAAAAGTTCTTGGCTCAACCAAGAATGGATTCAAAAACAAAATTCTGATATTTGGTCATATTTTGGAAAGTGGGTTGACCCAAGAACTTTTCAGCACCCCCATGTACATGACATGACAAATAATGGTAATTTTCTAACTTGCTAAATTTATTTTATAAAATCTTTTTTACGTGACGCTATAGACACACCTCATTTTATATATATATATATATATATATGCAAAATTTAAAATAAGGATATGTGTATGCATTACACTCGCTCACCCACTCTCTCAATTTCTTTGTCTTTTTATATATTCCTGATTAAAAATGAAAAAAAAAGTATATATTTTTCAGTGATGATACCAAAAAAAAACTTACTAACAAAATAAATGCATGCTCATGTCAGTAAAATTCTTCTACAATGTCTAACCTTTTCACTAGCACATTCTTTAAATTTATTGCATTTATCATTTTACATTCTTGTTTTTGAAGTTATTTATCCTCTTTACCCATAAAGAATGTATTATTCTCTTTAAATATTTTAAATATTGTTATGAAAGTCTTCTTCCTATGAGTTGTTTATTGCATTCATTTGTGATTGTGCTAAATATTAAATACATTCTTTCTTGTGTATAAGTTGGATGAGATCTTGACTGCATATAAATTTACTTAGTAAAATTACTGTTAGTCATGTTAACAAATCAAGACACAAGGTAATCCTTCCCTTTTCTCATTTCCACTATATAAGATACTGTAAGAAAAATATTTCTCGATGCTGACTAACTACTCCCATCCTAAACAGATTACTCATCTAAATCTGTCTTGATATATAGTTGCATATTTGGGTAACAACCTTTCTGTAATACATGTTTAATTAAAAATACTGACAATGTACTTCTGTTTGATTTTTTTTTTCTTGTGTGCAAGTTAGAGATTTCTTTTTGGGACTTACTGTATTGTACAAATGATTATTTGTTCTGAGCACTTTCATCTAATCTTTTAGCCATTTTCAAGGATTATAGTTGAGCTATTGCAAATATTGTGTAGGTTGCTGAAATGTAGACATATTTTCAATTCATGAACACAGTCATTATGGTTGTATTTGTAGTTGATGTTGTTCAAGAATTTTTTTTATTATTATGATGAGGACTTCTATAATTTCTAGATGATTTTTACAGTTTTGTATTTTTTTTTTGTATTCTATGTATAATTACATATGTATGTTGCGTATAGAAGTTGAATTGTTTTTGTATCAGTTAAAAATGAGTCTTTATGGAGCTATGGTCCAAGAGATATAAGGTCTGCTGTATGTATGTGGGAGGGAAGAAGAGTATATATAAAGTTTCATTAAATCTAACCAATGTTTGTCTGTCCAATATTTTTTTTTTTTTTTTGTGTTTTACCAATTTTCAAATAAAATGTAGATAAGAATTATGGATAAACTGTCAACAATACTTCAGATCATTCACTGTAAAGAAAGACTTAAAATATTGGAAACTATTATTATAAGAAAGAAACACCCTGCATTAAATATCTTTTACTACAAGAGATGGCATTTGAAAATGTATATAAGATAATTATGACACAAAAACATAACAAAAACATGAACATTGAACAGTTTATCTGCAATTTTGATCTGGATATACAACAACTTATTTGAAAATAGGACAAACAAAGCATTAAACAGAACAAATTTTGTCAGTTGAATTTAATAAACAAATCAAATAAAGAAATCCAGTAAAAGACCTGTTTGATCTTTATAGCATAAAATCTTTTATGTACTTTTGTTAATTATGATAGACTCTATGGGCCCCTGAGGTATTAAAAGCTACTGAGTAAACTGTTCTAGTCACCCCCACACACTACTGATCTACTTATAATTTTACAATTTATCAAGGTAGGACTTGTTTCATTAGATTTAGTTTATTTATATACAGGCTTAGTTGAAGACCAATGAAAGTTCTTTATAAAAATTTTCTTTTATTTAATTTTTCTATGCTTGGACCATTTTTATGGTTTTCTGGGAGAACTTGAACATAAATTGTCCAAAACTTTTGAGTCTTTTCAGCTTTCATCAGCCATGATCAAAGAATTTTATTTTGACATTGATAGGGTTGTGTGTGTGCTTGTGTGTATGCATTGTATTGTATTTATTTTGTTGTTTTTGAGTGTTCAGTTTTCATGTGAATGTTCAGTTTATTCAAGTCCTTTTAGATTTTTTTTAAGCATTGTGTTTTTATATAGCAATTTGTGTTGTTATGACATTCACTGATATGTGAAGATGCTACACCTGAAAAAAAAATAAAGAAAAAATACCAAAGAGACACAACCCCATCAACACAAAAATAAAATGCTTTGATAATGTTTTATAAAAGCTGAAATTGCATAGAAAGCATTCAGTAATTTAAATTCAAATTCTTCCTGGAAACTTGAAGAATGGTCTGAACCATAAGAAGAATATTTTGAATGTATATGGTAGCTCAATATTTTCTCTACAAACACCAAAGGCAAGTCAGAGTTATTACTTCTGTTACTCCACACTATAAGGCCAGGATTTGACTCTGTGTTGTGAGTGAATACACTGTGTGTGACATAATTACAACATCATATGTGATTAAGTATGTGACTTGTAATAGTATTTGGTCACTAAGGTCATTGTTCTGTAATGGGAGGAGTCACTTTTTGAATTAGATGATTGATACATACAGTTGTATACAGTGATTTCAGCAGTTTTTCCAAGATTATATATAAAGTTCCTTCTTATATTCAATTTGCATACTGATCAAGTTGCCTAAACTTTGGAATAGAACTAGGTGTGTGAATAAGATATATGGTTGTTAATGTCTATGTTTATTGATGTATATATGTATGATTTTTAGACTAATTCAATAATTTTACTTTTTTACTTACTATACATTAATTTGTTTTGTTTTTTTTTTTCTTTAAAGATTTTGTATTGGCATGATTTATTTTTATCATTTTTTTTCATTTTGTTTTTGTTCTGTTTGATAAATCTTCTCGATAAATTTTCACTGTTGATAAAATTCCAATGACTTTATTCAGTAAGTCATAACATTTACTGCTGACATCTCCCAAAAATACTAGAACCTACCTATATTTAATTTGGCAACTGTCTTAGTTTATTTTTGTAAGAAATAAATATCTTACCCTACAAAAGGTGTGGTTGAAAGCTTTGGAACCTTTACAGACCCTAGAGGTTTTTCCTGTACCCTCTGATTCATCATTTTGCACTTTACTCAATCTGACTTTTTGGAAATTCAAAAAGATAAATCTACTAGGATAAAAATGGCGTCTGCTGCTCTATGCAAAATAATTTTCAAGGAAGCATAACTTGGTAGAATGATATCCATGATGAAAGATGAAGTAGAAACCATTGAAAATATTGCTTTTTTAAATTTGTATGGAGAAAATGAGGAAAAATAATATAACTTATTAATTTTCTCTTTCAATGATGCTTACTTAAACAATAGCAAATGGTAAGTGAACATTGGGTTAAAGAATAAAAAAAAGCTTAAATTTCCTAGGTTTAGTTATTTTATCACCCATTTCCCCTCCCATCCCCTATTTTTTCTCTCTGTTCACATTCATTTCTTTCATGTTAGAAGTGGGTCAAGATTGAATCAGATTGACAGCAGAAAAATCAATGATTGATTGATTGAAATTTCTCCCTCCCTTTTTTCTTTGCTCATACTGTTATATTTGCATCTTCCCTGTCACTTCTCTTCTCTATCCGCCTGTTTCTAGTCACTTTCTCTTCCCTCCTTTCTTCCCTCTCAATTTTTACTGTTGCTGCACGTTTTCTCTCCCTCTATGTTGTCTATTTCTTTCTACGTGCTTGTTCCCTATTCCCCTTCTCTCTTTGCGGTGCCTGTTCTCCTCCTTCTCTCTTTGCAGTGCCTGTTCTCCTCCTTCTCTTTTTGCGGTGCCTGTTCTCCTCCTTCTCTCTTTGCGGTGCCTGTTCTCCTCCTCCTCTCTTTGCGGTGCCTGTCCTCCTGCCCTCCCTCCTCTCTTTGCGGTGCCTGTCCTCCTCCCCTCCTGCCCCCTCTCTTTGCGGTGCCTGTCCTCCTCCTCTCCTCCTCCTCCTCCTCTCTTTGCGGTGCCTGTCCTCCTCCTCCTCCTCTCTTTGCGGTGCCTGTCCTCCTCCTCCTCTCTCTTTTGGTGCCTGTCCCTCCTCTCCTCCTCTTTGCGGTGCCTGTCCTCCTCCTCCTCTCTTTGCGGTGCCTGTCCTCCTCCTCCTCTCTTGCGGTGCCTGTCCTCCTCCTCCTCTCTTTTGCGGGTGCCTGTCCTCCCCCCTCTCTTTGCGGTGCCTGTCCTCCTCCTCTCTTTGGGTGCCTGTCCTCCTCCCTCTCTTTGCGGTGCCTGTCCTCCTCCTCTCTTTGCGGTGCCTGTCCTCCTCCTCTCTTTGCCTGTGCGGTGCCTGTCCTCCTCCTCTCTTTGCGGTGCCTGTCCTCCTCCTCTCTTTGCGGTGCCTGTCCTCCTCCTCTCTTTGCGGTGCCTGTCCTCCTCCTCTCTTTGCGGTGCCTGTCCTCCTTCTCTCTTTCACTTCTCTCTTTCACTTCTCTTTATCCATTTTACTCTACAACCATATACTTAACCTTTCAAATTTATTCTTCTATCTATCACATTCACTCAGATGCAAAGAGATGTTGAAAAGTTCTCCGAAATGGTTTCCACATGTTCCTTTAACATTATCCATTGAAGTATTGATTTTGGGTCTAAGAACTTTTCAGCACCCTTTCATTTGCTTCACATATTTCTTGTCTTCTTCTTCATGCTTGATTGATTCCAAGTTTTCTCTCATGCTATATTACTGCATTTTCTTAATGTGACTAAAATATTCTCTATCTAGTTTGGGGAGTTATTAAAAGAAAAGCTTTACAGAATTTATATTCATTAAAGAAATAAGAGCTTTTCCTTTAATAAGTCTGATAAATATAAATGAATGGTAGACAACTTTCTTAATAGAAAGATTTCATTTTCTCTTGCTATCCCCAAAACTGTTTCAGTTGAACAACCAAGAGAAAAGAAGGGAATTGAAATATAATAACTTATCTTTTCTAACCAATAACCTGGTTAATATTGTTCAAAATTGTATTTCTTTCTCTTAAGCAAAGTTAGCTTGCATTATTAAAGAGTCCACTGCTTTCTGTGTGCTTATTTATTGAGACCTTGTGCCAGATAAAACTAAGCTAGCTAATACTTGTTTATTTCTTTGAGTTAAAATTATTATCATATGCTTTATGGGAGATCTTAGGATTAATGTGGTGTCTAACTATTCCATCTAAATTCACAGCTTAAAATTTTCTTTGTTAAAACTTGACACTTCATTTAATTCCTCAAATTAAATCAGAGAATGAACAGAACTGTACAAATACCACAATTACTGAATAATTTGTTGGAAGCTGAATACATTTAAAATGACATTATTTTTTTCTTGGATCTGCAGAAATGATTATTATCCAATTCAGAGGCATTTATTTTTTGATATTTAATGTGAAAGCAACAACTGTCTCTTTAAATCACGGACCATTTTAACTCCATCTTTTTATAAAGAAATGAAGAAATCATAGGTGACTGCTAAACTTACATAAAGTAAAGTGAACAACTGAAAGTCTGTTAGAAAAAGATTGGGGCGGGACTTGGTTATCCAATGAGAAACCTTCATGGATCAGACATAATTGATTTCATTATAGTGCGATAAGGTATTTGTATGTTTTAAGTGTTGCAGGAAGCCACATTGTAAAAATAGTGGAAATAATGAATTCTTATGAGAGCAGAAATTAGAAAAAACACAAAATAGAAGTGAAAAAAACTGTTTTTATACTATTGTATCAAAACATTGTGAGGTGTGTATTTAATTCGATGATTGTTAATTGTATTGAAAGCAAGAATTTTTTTCTTATCTGTACTTGTCCCCTATTATCATGAAAAGATTAATTTTGCTCTCAGTGGTTTTAAATGAAGTGGGTTTTTTTTTTGTTTTTTTGTAATATAGTACATGACAAAAAATTAACTTTGTGTAAACCATCAATGTCAAATTTTTTCAAGTCACCTGAATGTAGCAAAAAAATTTTTTTTTTATTTTTAAAAACTCCAAAATTTTATTTTAAGTCAAAATTTTCTTCAGAATTCTTTTTTTTCCTCATTTAGTTTCAAGAACGTCAGAAGCTAGACATATTTTACTAAGGGAAGAGTACAGAAGTTAAAAGTTATCTTTCTTTGTGATACAAGATTTTTTTGTGCTTAGTCATTTTAAAAAAATTTCTTCAGGGAATTTTGAAAGGAGAATATAAACAGAAATGAAACTTTTTATTCCCAAAGATGTAAACCAAGCATGGAATTCTCTTTCTGTAATATGAAACTTGTGATAGAATTAAACACTGCTTAATTTTACTGTGTAAAATCAGAAAAGATTTTGACCTTGATCTATATTAAAAAATGATCCATTATTGGAGGTGATGTGGTGGGGAAGTATATTGGTGGCAGAGAAGTCTGGGTTTTTCTCTTTTTTTTTTTTTTTTTTTTTCTTTCTTTTTTATTGTGATGAAGAGCATTACATGATATCCAGTTGACTATTTATAGATTAAGTATGTATATTATTATAATGGAACAGATATTACTCATTCCCAGATACTTAAATCATCTTGTCAACTTTTATAATTTTAAGTATACAATTTGGCTTCTCCCAATAGAATTTAGTTTGGGCAATTTTTAGAAGTTGTTTCCCATAGGGTATTAACAAAATCTCTTGAGTCAGGATTTTTTTTCCAACAAGAGCAGTTATTAAAAAAAAAAGCACTTTAAGTTTCTACTTTTAGAAATTTGAATGAAAAATCATCTTGAGTGGATTATTATAGTTGCGTTTCAAAAGTCTTTTGTTTTTTTTTTCTCATTTCCCCAGGAAAGAACAAATATTTGCTTCAAATTTATCTTGAAAAAGTAAATTAAAAACATGTCATAATATAGATAGATTTTTTTTTTTTTAAATGAAGAAATATCTAAACATTTGTTCATTGCCAATAAGTTTTTTTTTTTATCATTGTAATGTTTGTCATGTTTTACTTGTAAAGATGAAAAGTGAACAACTCCATTCTTCTATGTTCTGTGTTCCTTCAGGCCATGGGTGATCATGGCTCTCCAAAACTTCCTATCCCTCCCTTGTGTCCCTTAACATTTTTTTCTCCTATTGCTAAGGTTCTCTCCTTCTGCTCCACCATCCATTCACACAATCCTATATCCTCTGTGAGGGTTAAGTTTTTTAATCCCTCCTTCCTCGTTATGTGTCCAAGGAATTTTAGTCATCTCTTTCTGATTCTAAGTGTTCTTTTTCATTGTAAGACTTCCTCGTTGCATACTCACTCCATCCATGGAATTTTCAGTATCCTTCTGTAGAACCATATTTCTGCTGCCTCTTGTTTTCTCCTCATCTGTGGGAAGAAGATTGTCCAACATTCACTGCCATAAAAGAAGATGGATATCACATAGCAGTCCAGCACTCTTTTCTTTGTTTCTAACAATTTTTTTCTGTTTCTCATCATTTTGCTTAACCTTTGGAATGCCTCTTTCACTCGTCCAATGCGTGTTTGGATTTTGGTGTTGCATTTGCTTCCCTCCATTTAAACACATCCCAAATATTTAAACTTCTTATGTGTTTAAAATGATTTTATTTTCAGCTAAATCAACTCGAGTGTAAAACAGAATATTTAATAAAGGTGATAAAAGCAATTTGATGAAACATTTTGAAACATTCTAAATGTAAATCATATAGTTATATCAACAAAGCCAATTTGTAAACTCCTTTCATTTGCACATAGATATACTATTATCCTTCAAGACATTGACAATTATGGCCCTCCACAACTTCCTGTTTTGTGTAGCTATTAGCAATGTTTTTTTTTTAAGTCCTTTTACTGTCTGATCTGCTATCCATTTACTCAAACTTGTCTTTGTTATTTCTTTGATCATATCCATTTGAGCATCAAATTCTCAAGCCCTCAATCCTCATTTTGTGTCCTTTTTATTTAAGTTTGTTCTTTTATTTCATTTTTCTTTAAAAGTTTTTTTGCTTACAATCCATCATGGTATATCTTCTGTAGAAGCATCAAATTCTTCATCAAATTGTCCCTTTATCCTCATTTACATGTCCTTTTTTTTTATAAGTATAATTTAGTTTTTGTTCGTTTGTTTTTATTTCCATTTTCCTTAAAAAAAAACTTCTGTTCTTGTTCGATTTTGACATCTCCAAATTGTAGTTTGCATCTTGGGCTTTTCTCAAACCTCATTCATCCACTGATATTTAATCCTTTCTTTCAGCATTCTTCTGTCTAGAACCAGTTTTCTTTCTTTGTCTGCCATCTCTCATTGCATATCTTCATTAAGATTTTACCAATAATAAATCTTCAGTTCTTTAATTGCTTATAATTGTACTGTGAGTCATTTACTGCCATTACAAGATAATTGGTATTATCTTGTCATCACAGATCAAGAACTCTTTTCTGTTTTGTTTCTAATAAAATATTCTTAGTTATTTGAAAATTGTATTATTTAGAATTTGTTTTTTTTGGTAGGCATCGTTTGTTATTCCAATGAACCTTTAGATATTTTGGTGTTACATTTTTTTGATTGTTAATTTGTACATAAATTGTCACAATCACAAAAATAGTTTGAAGATAAAAATCTAAAAAACCTGCAACTTTTCTAAAACAATTTTTGCTCATTAATTCTTTGTTTTGTTTTGACATCTCAAATTGTTTAATTTCTTTTTTAAACATCTTTTGGCTTTTTCTGGCTATTTGACAACCATTACATTCTATCTTTTTACTACATGTGATATTTTAATCCTTTCCTTTCTTGATTTTCCTTTATTAACTGCTGAAGAATGTCTTGTTCAAGAGAAATTTTGCAGTTTTTTTTTCTGGTTTTTTGTATTCATTATCAAAATGTTTCTTGTCATCTGAATATCTTTGGATTATTAATGGATTTAATTTATTGTGCCTTTTTACCAATAATAAATCTTTTTAAGAGTGTTCTTCTTAGCTGGTTCTATTTAGGATCAACACGGGGAGGGGGAGAACTAATTTGCTTATATTATTCAATTACACATACTTACATTGCAAACTACATTCATTGATTCAGGTAAGCAAGTTGGAAATTCATCATAGATAGTTGCATGCCTAAATAAAATGACTTATAAAGACATCAAAAGTTAATTTGATCTATTTTATGAAAATATGGTCAAACATCAGAATTTATTTTTGGAATCTTTTGTGATGAATTATCAGACTTGTCTACCTGTGTGAAGTCTGAACATTAAGCTTATATAAGATGAGTGTTTGTTTCAAGGCAATGTTTTCTTTGGTCCATATGAGAGGAAACTGATTTTATCAAAATCAAAGGTTTCTGTTTATTTAGAATTATGTCATTAATCTTCAATCTTTTCCATGAATCTTTTCTTTCTCTTGTGTGTGTTATGTTACATTAATTTATTCATTTGCTGATGGCAAATTTATCTACTTTTTTTTTTAAATGCAAACAAATGACAAATGTTTATACATTCCTCAAATATTTGTGGCTCAAATAAACAGTTAAACAAAAGGCATGTCAAGCTAAATCCATCCTCCGACGGTTCCATATAGAATACAGGTTAACCA